TTTATAGAATTCTGAGACTTTTTTTCTTTTTTCTTTTTTTTTTTTTAAGAAGACATTTTTCTCTGCTAATTATTAGTTGATAGCCAAAGGAACAGCCAGACAAAGGTACGTAGGGTGGGTGTGATTTGGAAGCATTTCTAGTACAGGAAACTCTGTTCCTCTGTGGTTAGGATGCAGTGCCCTTTTCAGCATATGAATATGCTCCTCAACCAGGGCGTTGTTCCCTGAGTCTCCCAGAGATTTTATAATTCAGTCTCCAGCAATCCTCCCTTATTCCCAATCACAGATTCCATCCTTTTGGGGACCAGCCCCTATCTGGAAACTACCTAGAGATCCCTAATCTTAGCTGTCTCAATAGCATAAATTAAAATGTGGGAATTGGGCCTCTCTTTATCTCACTTTTTTCCTTGCCCCATCCCATCTATTGACCTGTATTCCTAGCCCGTACGGTGGGTGTGGGTGTGGGGGGGGAGGGTGCGCGCGCGTATGCCGCATATGTGTGTGTTTAAGCCTGAACCAGGGCTTAAATTTAGGACCTTTCACTCTTGCTTGTTCACTGATTGTGATCTAACATTTGAGCCATGCCTCTAGTTTAGCATTTTGTTGGTTAATTGGAGATGGAGTCTCAAAAGACTTTGGGTTGGCTTTATACTGTAATCTTTTAGGTGTCAGCCTCCTGAGTAGCTAGGATTATAGATTTGAGCTAGTAGGCCTGACTTCTTGTGGCTTCTTTTGAATAGCAAGGGACCCTTGGAATTACTCTAGAAATCTTCTGGGGTTTAGGAGCTCTGTGTTGGGTACTAGAGACAATACGGATCTTTTGTTGTTGCTGTTGGTCGTGGGTCTTGAACTCTGGGCCTGGGCGCTATCCCTCAGCTCTTCAGCTCAAAGCTAGCGCTCTACTCTACCACTTGAGCCACAGCATCACTTCCTGCTTTTTCTGCTTATGTGGTGCTGAGGAATTGAACCTAGGGCCTCATGCATGCAACGCAAGCACTCTACCACTGAACCACCTTCCCAACACTATCCTACTCTTCAGTGTAGGAGTACATCCATATGTGTGCCAGATGCTCTGGAGACATTTTTTTTTTGACTGTTTTACTTAATTGTATATATGTATTCTGTTTATAACTTGTCAAAGGAGAAAGTAGTTTTTCCTTCAGTGAGGTGGGCATCAAGCAGCACATGACTGATTACCAAGGGCAGATGTCCTGTTTCTGTAATGGCAGTTCTGTCTTGTTCCTAAGGCCTTCCAGGTTAGAATGGTTCAGAGGTCATCCTGAGATGCAGGGACAACATTGTTTTTTTTTTTTTGTCAGTCGTGGAGCTTGAACTCTGGGCCTGAGCACTGTCCCTCAGCTCTTCAGCTCAAGGCTAAAGCTCTACCACTTGAGCTATAGCACCACTTCCAGTTTTCTGGTGGTTTATTGGAGATAAGAATTTCATGGATTTTCCTGCCCGGGCTGGCTTTCAACTGTGGTTCTCAGATCTCAGCCTCCTGAGTAGCTAGGATTATAGGCGAGAGCCACTGGCGCCTGGCTAACATTCTGTTTTTCATTAGTTATGATGGAGAGAGTATCTGGGCTTTGGGAGCCTTTAGGTGATGCCTGTGCATTATAGTGGCGGTAGAGTCCACTGGAGGCTCTGAGTCCCCTGTGCCACCAAAGGAAAGGAAAGATTCGGCACAGTGTGTTAAGTAACATGATTGAAATGGCAAAAATAAAAAAATAGAACTGCTACTGTTTTTTTAAAATATTGTACTGGGCTTTGAACTCAGGGCCTTACACTTGTTACGCAGGTACTCTACCACTTGAATCACTCTGTCAGCCCTACTATTTCCTCTTCACAAAACTTACTGTTATCCCTTTGTAGTAATTTGTTGCGTTTTAAGTAGCTGACATTTGGTTGGTTTATGACCATCTGAGAATTTTAGCATTAGTGACGAAATGTTTTTCAGATTTTCAACTTTTTCTTTGCTTTTTTGAGACAGTGTCTTGCTGTATAGCCCAAGCTGGTCTCGAACTCATGATCTACTTACCTCAGCCTCCCAAGAGAACTACCATGTCTGGCATGTTTTCTCACATTCTAGAATTTTTGTATCCATTTCTTAAAAATATGTAAGGTTGGGCTGGGAAGGTGGCTCAGTGGTAGAGCGCTTGCCTTGCATGCATGAGGCCCTGAGTTCTATTCCTCAGCACCACATATGCAAAAAGAAAAAAAGCCAGAAGTGGTGCTGTGGCTCAAGTGGTAGAGCGCTAGCCTTGAGCTGAAGAGCTGAGGGGCAGCACCCATGCCCAGAGTTCAGGCCCCACGACCGGACCCCCCCCAAAAAAATACAAAAAAACAAAATATGTAAGGTTTTCTTTTTTTTTTAATTTTTTTTATTGTGAAAATACTGTGCAGAGGGGTTACAATTACATGGGCAAGGTAATGAGTATATTTCTTATTTGCCTCCTCCTTTGTTTCCCCTTCCCATCCTCCCCCCCACCCCCGCCAAAGTTGTAAAGTTCGTTTTTTGACATAATGTTGTGTTATGTAAGGTTTTCTTTGTGTATGTCTGTTGTCTTTCTCTGATGTTATCATGAACTGAACTGGCATTATTCATTCTCATGAACTGAACTGAGAAATGTTCTCTTTAAGTTTTTGAGTAGAAATAGATATTTCTTCTTTAAATATTTAGGCCTTCTGGGCCTAAAGTATTTTTGTTTTTTCTCCAGTATTGAGATTTGAACCTAGAGCATTATGCTTGCTCAGTATCTTTCCTTAATTCAGCTATACCACTTGAGCCATGACTTCTAGTCTTGCTTTTTTTGGGGGTGTGGGGGTAGAGGGGAGTCTAGCGGACCTTTTATCATGGTTGACCTCAATTCACCATGTTCCAAATTTTATGTCTCCAGAGTAGCTAGCATTACAGTACTTGTTAAACAGGTAATCTTACCACTTGAATCACTGTGTCAGCCCTACTATTTCCTTTTCACTGGGCCTGGTTTCTGAAGTTGTCTTGATTGGAAAGTTTATAACTGCAGCCTTGGTTTCTTGGATAGATTGGGGCTAATTAGTCTATTCTGAAGGTTGGTGCTTTCCAGGGTCCTAGTCCTTGTTATCCAGACTGAAGGTCATCTCTTTAGTTGACGGGTTTTCAAGGCACCAGTCACTTGAGTTTCTCCTAAGTGCAACAGTGATCATTTGCAGTTTACTTTTGCTGTTTTTCTGTATTTCTGAGCTAGAATCTCCATGTGTCTTTAGCAGATTAATCCTTAGCAACATGTATGACCTACTGCAGCTTGTTGTGGGTCTTTACCAGAGGTTTCATGTTTTTGTGATTTTTGAGTGCTTTTTTACTGTGTGTGCCTGCAGGTCTGTGCCAAGGAACTTGAGGCCTGAGGGTAAGCTGGTTGTCTGATGCTTGAATCACAGTTCAAGTGCCAGCTGTTAGTTAGAGTAGGTCGTAACTAGGCAAGGGTGCCACACATGGTTGCCAGCCCTTTTGGATGATTCTAGAGGCGTGGTTTTTCCTACAGTGATGTGAGCACTTGAGGTGAGGCATCCTTGACAGCTGGAGTTTCTCCTGGTGAGTTTTGGCTGGCCTTCCTCCTTTCACAGTATCACGCAATGGAGCAAGGCAAGGGCAGAGGAACCAATTTCATTTTGGTCTTGCACAGTGAGGTGTTGAATTTAAGGCATTTGATTTTAGGCGTCTTCATTTCCACAGGTTTCCAGACATTTCTCTAAGCCTGTGCTCCAGGCTTGTACAGACCTTTTCACAGCAGGCTGGTAGAAGTTCTAAGAGGGCTGCTGGCTCTTGGTGTGTCTCTCTGCCTAGTGTGCCCCACTGTCTCATGTCTGTTTCAAGCTCTTCATTCATGCTTGCTTGTCAATGGGGAAAACTTAACCTTTACTTAAAATCTTAGGGGGATTCTGATCTGGCTTGTGTGTGTCTCCCAAAAGAACCTCAGAATGTGGCCTTGTTTTGGAAGCAGGGCACTTTCAGATACAATTAGTTGATATGAAGTCATACTACCGCTGGGTGATTGTGCCTGGTACTCTTAACATGAAGAAGGGAAGGAGACAGGGGAGAGAATGGTGTTTAAAGCCACTGTGGTGCAGTCATGGGTTGCTTTGGTGATTTAGTTATATGAATACTATAGATTATAACTACACAAGCTAATTGTGATGCCACTCGGATCAGTGTTGTGTTTGGGACCCACCACTGACAGATATACCTTATCCGTGCATGACTGCTTTGTTACTGCAGCCCCTTCACAGTTGGTCTATGTTTCATCGTGGTCTGGACAGTGTCTTCTATTTATCTACTGTGGGTCCAGCCAAAGATCAAAGCAGGGGATTGTACTGTCAGGTCCTTTTTATTCAAAGCCACCCTTGGTCTGACATACCTTGGGGCTATCTCTCTTAGCTCTAGCTTTCTGTACTTGCTATGCAGAATTTCCTCCTTTCCCCCTTGAGTGGATATCTTCGCTCCTCGTTAGCCCTTCTTACCCTACCTGTTCTTGGTCCTAAGTGATAATTGTTTAGTCAGCACAATGACATTGTTGGAAACGAGTCATCCAGGCCCTTTCTGGATTCCCCTGATCTATGAGCATTCAGCCCCTTGAGAGCTCAGCCTTTTTAAAGTGCTTGGGCTTATCTTTCCTATAGTATCAATTATGATGTTACAGGTTCTCTCTGAAGGTGATATATTGTTTAATTTCTGATTGAATTGGATTGAAAAGAAGTGTCCCAGGCTGCTCAGCGTGTTCCTAGGCTCTTCATTGCACCGTGATCAATGAAGTGGGTCATGGTGGGTGGTGGAAAAGACAACTGGCCAGTGAGGCATAGAGTATCTTCCACACTTGGTGGCTTTTTAGCAGGGATGTGGGAGGGGACATGACTTGCTCAGATGAGGTAATAAAGAGATCTGGAGCGGAAGTAAATTGTAGGGGATCAGTTCTGAAAGGCCTTGGTCTTAGGCCGGATTTATGAGCATTTGCTTTGTGTTGCAGTATTTTAACCACATCAGTATCGAGGACTCAAGAGTCTATGAGCTGACCAGCAAGGCTGGGCTGTTGTCTCCATATCAGATTCTCCACGAGTGCCTTAAAAGGTAGGGTACCTCCTTTCCTTGTCTGGTCACAGGAGCTCCTCTTGGGTATCTCACAACTTTGTTGACAGTTTGCCCCACTGGTGAAGGTATTGTCAGTTTCCCTTGGGTATACAGGATCCCCTCAGCTTGAGCTGTTAGTTAAGAGCTCCCTGGATTAAAATGGATATATAATTTCTCATGAGCAATTTGGGGAGAAGTAAGTTGGTCTTTTCCTCTGAGAGCTTTTAATGGATTTTCCCAAAGCAGCCCTCTGAAGGAGCTACCATATACATCATCTCAGATGATACCACTTTATTGTCTTTGTTTTCTCTTTTAAAGAAACCATGGAATGGGTGACACATCTATCAAGTTTGAAGTGGTTCCTGGGAAAAATCAGAAGAGTGAATATGTCATGGCATGCGGCAAACACACAGTGCGCGGATGGTGTAAGGACTAGTTCTCTTCCCCTGCTTTCCTCTCAGACTAGTGCTTTCAGAGAATAGTTAAGCTTTCTGGCCACCTATGGCTTAGTTCTCTACCATTACTGTGGCCTTAGTCCAAGCCCCAACAGGCAGAGGTTCCTTCTGGTGTGTCAGCTGTCCTTTCCATTTACATTGTTTTTTATACATCTGTACTCTGCTTACTTCTGTATCTGAATCAACCACATTTTGAACATTAAAGCCAGGTGTAGGTGGCATCAATCACAGAGTCCCAGCTCCTAGAGAGGCCAGGGTAGGAGAGTTGCTTGGGGATACAAATTCAAGACCAGCCTAGACAACGTAGTCTCAAAAAAATCTGAATTGCTGGGTACTGATGTCTTATGCCTGTAATCCTAGCTACTCCAGGCTGAGATCTGAGGATTGAGGTTTAAAGCCAGCTTGGGCAGGAAAGTCTTGAGACTTTTTGCTCCAATTAACCACTTAAAACTAGAAGTAGAGGGCTGAGAATGTGGCTCAGTGGTAGAGCCACTTGCCTTGCATGCATGAGGTCCTGGGTTCGATTCCACAGCACCACATAAGCAGGAAAAAAAAAAACGGAAGTGGTGCTATGGCTCAAGTGGTAGCGTGCTAGCCTTGAGCTGAAGAGCTGAGGGACAGCGCCCAGACCCAGAGTTCAGGCCCCACGACTGGACCCCCCCCTAAAAAAAAAAACAAAAAACAAAACTAGAAGTAGAGCTGTGGCTCAAGTGGTGAATGTTAACCTTGAGCTGAAAAGTTCAGGGACAATGCCCAGGACCTGAGTTCAAGCCCCAGAACCAGCATATACACACACAAAAGTCTGAATTATAAACAAGAACTTCAAATAACTATTGTAAATAAAAACCAATTTTTCCCTTTCCTTAATTAGTATATATTAAATGTACAAGGAGGTTTTATTGTGACATTCTTACACATATATCCTTACCCCTTCTATCACTTTCCCTCAGATTACCTCCTTAAAACAATTTCAACAGGTTTCTTTTCATTTTTCCTTTAAAGGTCTAATCATTTATTTATTACTCTTTTTATTTTATTTTATTTTATTTGGGGGGGGTCCGGTCGTGGGGCCTGAACTCTGGGGTGGGCGCTGTCCCTCAGCTCTTCAGCTCAAGGCTAGTGCTCTACCACGTGAGCCACAGCGCCACTTCCAGGTTTTTTCTTTTTGCTTATGTGGTGTTGAGGAATCGAACTCAGGGCCTCATGCATGCAAGGCAAGCGCTTTACCACTGAGCCACCTTCCCAGCCCCTTATTTATTACTCTTAAAGACTTATTTTTGACTGGACTCACACTAACAAGTAGAAGCTGTCAGAAAGGACAACCTTCATCTCTTGGCAATCTGTTCATTGTTGTTTTCATACATGCAAATAAACTACTTCAAATATATTCATCCTTATTCTCACTTTGCTAGTCATTCTCTCTGGCATCCTCTATCTGAGTGTGTCTTACTTTCCTGTCATTCATTTTTTTGTGTTTTTCAGCATGTATTAGTTGCACCAGAGGATTTCACTATGGTATTTCAAAGATGATCGTTTTTCTCTGACTTCTCTGCTCTTAATGATCAATCAACTTATTTAGTGAGCTTCCTAATGATGTCTTTATATCCCCACAGTATTTTGAGTTTATCACCTCTGTCTTTCTATTACTGTTTCCTTTTCCCCTCCTCTCCCTACAGAACAATCCAGTTTTGTATAAACTAGCAGAACCATGTTTAAAACCAGCTTTGGCTGTCTGTCTATAGGCTGTTTCTGCATCCCACAAATTGTAGTCCCCAGTGACATAGGTTCCTGAACATGAGCCACTCAGCTAAGCTGCTGAGCAGTATGACCAGCCTGGGCCCTGCCTTCCTTGGCCTGGAAAACTCCTGCTTAGAAAGTCCTGCAGCTGGTGTTTCTACCCTAGGGTACCTGCCCTTACAGAGTTGCATGCTTTAGGAGGTGGAGGGGCTGCTGGTCTGCTAGGAAGTATGGGAGATGGTGGAGAGAGGCCTCTTAGCTGGTAGTCTTGGGTACATACCCTCACTTGGAGCCTCTGAAGTACAGTCTGCAGGGTGCTGGCTATATCCTGGCCTCAGGGCTGTGAGTCTTAGGTGCTCAGCACAGTGGTGAGGCACTGCCCACCCTCCTGTGGAATGCCCTTACTGGCATTTGGGGTGCTAAGGGAGGGCAGGTGGCAGGTGACTCCCTCTCTCCACCTTTGTTCTTTCTCTTTACAGGTAAGAATAAAAGAGTTGGGAAACAATTAGCCTCTCAGAAAATCCTTCAGCTGCTGCACCCACATGTCAAGAACTGGGGGTCTTTACTGCGCATGTATGGTCGTGAGAGCAGCAAAATGGTCAAACAGGTAACCAAACTCACCGTGGAGCTTCTATCTGGGATATGCTATCAGGGTTGGTATTTAGCCACATTGCTCTTGCTCTTGGCTACCTCTGCTTTGTGACACCTGCGGTCATGCAGTGTGGGAGTATTCTAAACTACATCCTCTTGAAACTGCTATGAGTGATCAGTGAAGTGTGGGAGCAGAGAGGTTTGTGTATGATGAAGGATCTCTGTAAGAGCAGGAGATTACAGTGTGCACACTGATGTGGAGTTATGTGAAAATTTGGCAGACAGGCCCTTGGCCCCTTCCAGGGCTATATGCCCTATGTTTAATAAAAGATTCTCAGTGGCCTTCCATGGTAGCGTACTAGGGGTAGAGGAGTGGAGGCTATGAATAGGATGACCCTGAAGATTGTGCTGGGGACTTTTGAGCCACCCTGCCTTGAGCTGAGCCACTGGTCAGGAATGACCCCTGCAGGCCCCCTAAGATTGTGCCCTGGGGCTTGACTTTGTCAAAGAGGAGTTCTAAACAACACACGCTCCCACCCTCACACTCACTGTCCACAGCGGATGGAACCTAGGGCTTAATTCATGCTACACTTGGGTTCTTTCTCCCACTGAGCCCAAGCTATGGACCAGGATAAAACATTTTTGGTAAATGAGTGTAAGACTTCTTTGTCTTTCTGTGCATAATCCTGGATTGTGATTAAGGGAGAAAGAACATTGCTTTGGGTTTGGGTGGAAACATCCCTCAGCTAGAGGGTCAGTGGTCTTGGCCTTGTACAGCCTAGCCATTGTGCAGGGCTCAACTCAAGACACAGTGGACACCCACCCCTTCTGAAGAGAATAAGGAGAAAAGAATAGCTGATTCTTTTTTGCACATTGTGAGGTGTGCAGAGAGCTGATTGGTTGGGCTCTGTCTGGCAGTGTTCTGTTCTAGCTGTAGTTACATTCTTGTTCTTATCCTGAAGGCTTCTGGTGTGGTGAGGCCTGGCTGTCCTGTCAGTACAGGAGAAAATGTGGAACTCCCCACAGAGGAAGAGATAGGTGAGGCAGCATAGCCAGAGTGTCTTGAACTGCCACCATATTCTTGAGGCTGTTAACAGGGCAAGTGCTGTCATGGGCAGGGTATCTGTGCAGTCCTGTGCCTCCCAGGCCCCGATGTTCCTGTCTTATGTAATCATGGACATAACTTACTACTGGGAAGTCTTGAGCGCAGGCTTTATGTCCCCAGGAAACCTCAGACAAGAGTGTAATTGAACTACAGCAATATGCCAAGAAGAATAGACCCAACCTCCACATCTTGAGCAAGCTGCAGGAGGAGATGAAGAGGCTGGCTGCAGAACGAGTGAGTACTTCTAGTTGCACCTGCCAACCCCATGTCCTCTCACTGCATGAAGGGCTGCATGTCAGCATTCTTCTAGCAGTGTGGAAGGACAGTAGACCCTAGGAACCCACCCCTGACACTCTGGAAATACTTGTACCTACCTTCCAGATGAGATTGAACCTTAATTTTAGTCCAGTTAGAGCTGGCAGGACATCCTGCTGCTGAATGAAAAGATCTGCTCTGGGATGATTCTGAGTTCCAATTTGGAGTTAGGTACTTGAGGGCAAGGATAGAGTACCAGGTACATGCCCCAGAAAACTCCAAAAGGTTACAAAACAATTAAGTCTAAGTGGAGCTTGGTGCTGGTGAAGCTTCCAAAAGTTGCGATGGGTAATCTACTCCAAGGGCACCCTGTTTAGAAGGCTGTCCCTGTCCCTAGGGCTCTGTTCTCTTGATCATTCACAGCTTCTCCTGGACATTGTGGGCTAGGTCTGTCATAGAGTCTAAGGAAGTAAGTGTCTGCTGCCAGGTGACCTTTCAGTGGTGTGCTTCTGTCCTCAGGTGGGGTAGTCCTTGTCTGACAAATGTTAGCAGGATTGGCCAGCCTGCCCTTGGATGGGAGATGGGCTGTGGCACCCTGGAGGAAATAAAATGTCGGGTAGTGATATCCACCCTAGGGATGGGGAGTATAAATCCCAGCTTGTAGCTATGGCTATATCTGATTCTTCCTTTGGGTTCTGTTTGTCAGGGAAGGAGCAGCACATGGTGCTCTGCCTTACCATTCTGGGGCTTCATAAGCACTGGAGTTCAGAGTCCAGAGGCATTCTGACACTTGCAGTCTATCCCTTCCTGAGCCACTTGCTGAGCACACCTCTCAACCATTTGTTCTTGTAGGAGGAAACTCGGAAGAAGCCCAAAATGTCAATTGTGGCTTCTGCGCAGCCTGGTGGTGAGCCTCTGTGCACTGTGGATGTGTGAGGTAGGCGACACTAGTGGGGCACAGGGGCTGCCAGCAGTGCTGCCTGGGAGACCACCAGCCACAACCGTTCACTGCAGCATCGGGACTCCAACCTAAGTTCCTTCCCTGAGGTGCAGTGCATCTGGGCTCAGGCCCTGGACTGTGGGGACAGTTGTGACAATACACATGTCAAGCAACAGTTCTCCCTGGAAGCTGCCTCATCAGGCTGGATACATTTAAGGATCAACTTCGAGTGACTGCACAATTGGAAGCTGATAGTCAGCTATAGACCCTGCTCATATCTATCTGCTGCAGACTGTTTTTATGAAAGTTTTCATGAATTTTAGTACATAATATGCACTGACAAGAAATACTTGGATGACAGATGAGATAATAAGGCCAAATCCTATGGCTCTGGTGGACTGTGATGCCAGGTGGCTCCTTTGCCCACACTCCTTGGGAGCCACTGTTGGGACAGAAGGTCTCTTATCATCTGCCTTCTGGTCCCCCCCCCCCCTTTTTTTTTTTTGAGAAAGTTAAAATGAGGAGTATTCAGATAATTTTGACTTAAATAAAATTTTAGCACCAGTAAATACTCTTCACATTTCAGGCAGATCATCAAGGTGTTTGTATCCCTTGCTGTGAGCCACGTTATCAGTGAGGAAGACATCCAGCTAGTCTCCTGAAGTGTCAAGATGGCTGCTGGGCTGCAGTCCACTTTTCTGATAAAGTCTTAATGCCCTAACAGCCGCCTTCCAGGACACTGAGGCCCTTGCCTTTGCTGATCTCTGGCAAGTTTTTTTACAAAGATTTTTGCACAATTGAGTTCGCCTGTCCACTCATCAATTTTTAAAGCTTTTCTGATATTTTAGAATTTGGAAAGAAACTTTTACAGTGAAAGAAGATAGATTTGAAATCATGCATTTTAGCAAGTATACTTGCTTAAAAAGGAACAAATCCTTCACTGCAGTGTCATTGGTTAGGAGCTAACTGAGCACTGGTTGGTGAATGTTCGGCATCCTAGTGAGTGGCCTCCCTAGGTTTCAAGGGTAGTTGCCCTGTACAGTCAGACCTAGTGCCCAGCTAGGTCCTCACTGGATGTACCCTATGGATGGGTGTGAGTAAAGGTCTATTCTTGCCTGAGTCTAGGGCACATGAATATGTTCAGGCCCTGGTGATAGTAGCCAGCTTTTGGCCCAATTCCCAGCACCTGTTCTGGGGCTGTGCGCTCACATATGGGGCACCATTAGCCTAGCAGTAGGCTCCATCCCCATGTTCCCTACTGTCTTGTCTCCCACTGTACCCTGCAGGTAGTTTTGATGGCGTTGTCAAGAAGACATAGAATGTTGGCTGTGGACCACCCACAGCATATCCTTCCCTTACCCACCTGTGTGACAGAGGTTGGCTTCTGTGTTAACTTGGGGGGAAAAAAATCAAGTTGCTGTAATAACACTTGCTTCTGTCTTGCCTCCTGTCTGCAGCTGTGAATAGTCAGTTGATTGTGACTGTTGCCCTTAAAACAGCCAGATTTACCATTGAGAACCAAAGCTTTGTGCACACATTACCCTAGAGGCTGTTGTTCCTCTGTGGCCACAAGGCAGGTGCTGCCATGTCTCGTGTCCTCCCTGTCTGCCCCATGTGGGTGAGTTCTGTGTGCACAGCCATGCTGTGGTACTAGGGAGCCTGTGCTACTGCTGTTTGTGTGCACTGGGCTACAGCTGTAGGGTGAGCCTTGATGGTCTGAACATATAAATCAAATTGTCCAAAATGGAACAACTGTCGTTTCATTCTTCTGGTCATTAGGGGAAGTGAGGCAGGTAAGTTGGGAACTTTCAATTGTCCTAGGGTGCTGTTAGACAAAGCTGTCCCTTGGGAACTCAACACAATCTGGCATGTCGTGGTCACTGCATTGAGGGCCTCCTTCCTGGGCTGAGGGCCAGGCCAGCCAAGTGATGGTTTAGGAGCAATCTCCCATGGTCAGTACCATCTACTCTGGTCCTGAAATCCTATCTCTCGTCTCTCCTTGGAATTAAACATAAAACTACATTCCCTGCCAAGAAGCAAGCCTTGTCAGGTGCCATGCCATGCTGGAAGCCAAAGCACATTTGGGAGTTCCAGGCCAGCCTCAGCTGAATCCAAGATCCTTTTAAACAAAAAGCAACAGAACACTGGTGTTAGCAGCTCATGCCTGTAAATTCTAGCTACTCAGGAGGCTGAGATCTGAGGATCAGTTTGAAGCCAGATGGGGCAGGGAAAGTCTGTCACTCTTGCCTCTAATTGGCCCTGGATGGGGGGGGGGGGGGGGGGGGAGGAAGTAGAGTTGTGGTTCAAAGTGGTAGGGTGCTAGCTTTGAGCAAAATAGCTTAGGGACAGAGCCTAGGCTCTTGAGTCCAAGCCCTACAACCAACCCTCTCCCTCCCCCCCCCCCCCCCCAAAAAAGTAACCTACTCCCAAGGTCTGATTCCCTGTACTCTTCAGGGAGGGGCATGGCAAGCTGCTTTGAGCAACCTAGCATAACCCTCCTGGTTGTGCTCAGGCCTGAAGTACCTGAAGGCCAGAATGGCCAAAATGCAGAAGTTCCCCAAGTACCCAAGATATGACTTAGATACTGCCCTGTTCCTTTATACCAACAGGAGGTGGCGTGTACCAGAGCTCTGACTCTCTTCAACAGAAACAGTTTAAGCAATTGTTTATTTTGGCCCTCACAGGCTGGTTATTACAAAGACTTGGGGTGGTAGACAGGATCCAGGAGTCCATCCATCTTTTGAGCAATAGCCCATAGCATCAAGTCAGCTAATCTCTGATTGGGCAGCAAGGCCTTGTGCCCTATGACTGCATACCCAAGCAAATGTGATTATAAATCTTCCAGCTTCTGTTCTCTTGATGGACCCTGCTCTGGAACTGCTTGTTTCTGCAGATCCCAGGGCCTAGGAGGCCCCAGTTTCTTGTGGAATGTCAAGATGAGGTTCTGGGGGAGGCTCAGGTGGAGGGTCTTCATGCCCTAGAGCATCTGTGCCATTAGGGTAATCCATTCTGTCAAACTGGATGAGCATCTCACAGTGTGGGGTTTGTGGGAACAAGTCCACAGCCACAGCCTTGACTGGTCGGAAGGGGGTGCCCTTCACCCGATTAGATGGGGCCCTGCAGAGGCTATGATAGGATGAGGATCAGCCAAAGTTAGACTTATAAGACTACGCAGAGGCCCCTGGGAGAGGGTGCTGGTTCCTGGTCCCCATCTAGGACTGCCCAATACTCACTCCACAAAGTTGCCCATGGCTGCCCTAGGGTTGCATGAAACATACAGGAGCCTCTTGAGGTTCTCAGATCTACGGATGGCCAGAATCACTTTGGAATCTGAGAAGACAGACCGTTAAGTTCTCAAGACCTTACACTGCATGGCCTGGCAGGCTACCTCCCTAAATGTAAATCACTCACGTAGGCCAGCTCGGGGTGGATCCAGGATAGCTACAAGTTGTTGGGAACCCAGTTTGTTCACCAGGGCAGGAACCAGGTCCTCAGCCTTTCCGCAGTGGAACTCAACATTGTTCAGCTCTGTACACAAAAGATAGAGCTGTCATTGGGAATACTTCCCCACCCAACTCTGACTGAGGCATGCAGGAAGTCAGCTGGACCCTCTAGTACCCTTGGAACCACAGGATGGGTTTATGGAGCAAAGGCTGAGGTAGGCTAGCCCACATGCTCTTACCATTGGTCTGGGCATTCACCCGGGCATCCTCCACAGCATCTTGGCACAGTTCAATCCCAATGACTCTCTTCACCTTCTGAAAGGAACGAGAAGTACAACAGGATGTCAGCCTCTGAATGTTCAAGCTGGGTGTCAGTAGGGGCAGGGCAAGAGGGCTCACCTGGGCCAGGGCTAAGCCAATGGTGCCGGTACCACAGCATACATCCAGTACTGTACTTTCCCTGTCCAATTGGGCCCAGTCTTGGATGACAGTGTACAGTACCTCTGCAGCCGGCGTGTTTACCTGGAGGGGGGGAGGCCATCATGTGTTCAGGTGCAGGCCTCAGCTCCTTAATCTGGAGGCAGGCCAGCACTCCACAATACCTGGACTCTATCCTGGTGAGACCTCTGGGGCCCACTCCCCTGTAGCTCAGCTAAGACTCTTTCCTACCCTCCATCACATTCTGGTGACCACAGCCGATGTCCAAATCCTCCTACCCTGTCCCCATTTTAAAGAGCTGCTTTCCTGGCCAAGGGACTTAAAAGGCCACCTCTGTCCTCCCATGGGGGTGGGGGTTGGAGTCACTTGGCTGCACCTCTTAGCTCTACCTATGGCCCTCCCTTAATCCTGCCACACCTAAAAGGATTTCAGTCCCCTATCTTAGAATAAGGCCAAGGCCCCCCGCGCCCCCCCCCCATCAGATTCAGAGTGGAGTCCTATGTTGCCAAAGTGTGCCCATTCTTCAACCTCTAACAAGAAGGATCATGGCTATGGATATCTATAGTTGTAAACAATCAGGGACAACCTTTCTCATCTCGTACCTGACACTGTGGCTTGCATGTGGTGGTTCTCCCTAAATCTCTGCAAGGCTAGCCCTTGTCCCCTAGCCTACTCTTTCCATCCTGCTTTGGTATGTGTGTTGGTGCTCCCTCCCACTATCCTATGCCACCCAGGGACATGAGACTACCTGGAAGAAGGCATGAGGGGAGATCCTGAAGGTTAACCCAAGCAGGTCCTCGTGGATGCACTGGTCCCCAGCTACATGCTCCAGGGGCAGGCCTTCCTGGCTGGGAGTCTTTCTATATGTATGGAAAGGCAGGTCTGTCAATATCACTGGCCCCTTCAAGAATCCCTCATGTCCCTTCCTGGGCTCCTCACCGCTGTCCTTCCTCCACGAAGTAAAGGCAGGTCACCCCGCTGGCTCTGCCAGGCCCCTCCATGAAGTAGTGTACCAGAGAGGCTTTCAGCCCTGCCAGCTCCTCAGGACTCAGTTTCTGGAACAGATAATACAAAAAGGCCCATTAGGCTATGCCAAAGCTACCCTAGGCCAGGTTCCTTCCCCAGCAGGACCACCACCTGAGACCTGGGGGTGGAAGTAGGCGATGGCCATGGCCTGGCCACGGCGGCTGGTGCGCACAGTCAGCTGCTTCCAGTGGCCTGCGTATGTCTCAGGGTCATATGCCGAGTATGGGGTAGACCTGTGGGAGCCATGAGTGTCCCTGAGTGTGCAATGTCTGCCAGTGAGGATGGAGGGGCACAGCCTCCATGCTCCCACTTCCCCATCCAAAGTGACAGGACCCCCTCCCTCTGCTCCCAGATGGTCTCAAGACTTCCCAGGAACCCAGTCCCAGATCCTCACCGGATGAACTCCTGGAAGGCTTTTACCACCTGCTTGGTCGCCTCAGGGATGTGCACAGTGTCAAAGGGGGATGCCACAGCACATGTCCCACCCTTGTACTTGCCGAGTCGACAGCCAACTGTATTGTCTTCTCCATCTACCCCAACTCCAACAAGAAACTCACACTTATTACGGTATTCAGTCTGTGAGGAAAAAAGGAGGCACAGAGAGGCAGTGGACCTTATCTTGGCTGCCCAGCACTCATGCCAGGAAAGAAGGCCACAGTGAAGGAGACTCTAATTTCCCCATAGGGCTGTCAAAAGACAAAGAGACAAAAGTGCCTAGCATGTGTGAAGGTCTGGGTTTTATTCCCAGTACTATATAAGTAAAAAAATAACACAAGACAGGATTGTGTGGCCACCCCAGTCAAGCCTGACCTGCTGTGGTGATGGCCTGACCCCCTCCAATGGACAGCAGGCCTTGTTGTGCTTGTGCCTCTGTGTGAGCAGCCAGGGCAGCAGGGCGCGATTGGTGTTCCCAATTTCCCTGTAATAAGAAGTACACCAATGGTTGGATTCTGTCCATTGTCCCAACCCACACCAGGCCCCTCTCTGGGACCTTACTGGTATCCTAAAAGCCTTACTGGCCAGCTCATAGTGCTGGCTGAGACCCTGTGGTGGATGGCTCACACAGTGCTCAATGCAGGCAGAGCAAATCGGAGCAGGTCTCTGGTGCTTTGGGGACCGTGTTCCACTCACTTGGCCAGTCTCTGTAGCACCTGCTCACACTCCAGCCGCTTCTGCTCCAGTTGCTCAGCATAGGGAACTGTCCAAAGAGGGGTCACCACGTCGGCAATGTGCGCTGTGGGGGGCTCACCCTCACCCTCCTGCCGCCGCCTCTTGGCCATGGGGTCAGCCTTGGGCCGGGCCAAGCGCACGCTGAGTGGACGGCCTTTCCAGAGGGCCCCATGCAGCACTCGCAGGGCCCTGTCCCGCTCCGCAGCACTGCGGAATGTCACGAAGGCACAAGGGGGTTGCCCGAAGAGTTTGGTTTTGTGCGGTTGCAAGCCAAAGCGGCCCAAAAAGCGGCGGACATCGCTGAAGCTGGCATGGCGGGGTACGTTCTGCAGCTCCAACTTGAAGATCTCTGAGGTGAATAGGTCGCCCCTGATGTAGCTGTAGAGTCCGGGCTGGGACTCGGGTGCAACAGCCGCCCCAGGCTCTGCTCCCGACTCTTGGGATGCGGGGACTGCAGGGCTGTCCACGGCACTGCCTTCATCCTGACCGCGGTCCTCCATAGGTTCCGGGCCCTGCATGAGGACAGTCAAGGCCTACGCTGAAGGCTTCCACTCCCGCCTTCCTCCTTCCCTGCCGGGCACATCCCCTCATTCCGTATATTCTCCCACAGGGCTCCCGCGCCATTCCTTGTCCCACCCTAACCGCATGTTGAACCCGCGTTTCCCTTCACTTTACTTCGTTGCTCGGCTTTTCGCTCATTGTCTCGCCGCCAGCCGTCTGTACTCCCGACGGCCTCCTGAGTGAGATGATCAGAGAGTGGTGCGAAGCCGTGAGGCAACCCTGGGCAGGAGCGGGACTCGAACCCCTACGGCTCAGAGCCAGGTCTCAGACGCGGAGCCACACCGTCCGCCCGCCACCGGCCCGCGCTAGCTGCTTGCCTTGGTCTCCAGTTCTCCAGCGCGTGCCTGAGGGGGCGAGTGTCTCTATGGTCCCGGCTTCCGATGACGTCACCGGCACGCACCGAGTCCGACGCCTGCACCTCCACCAGCCCCTTGCAGCTACGTGCGCGGCCTGGGGACGGAAGTGCGCGCGGGGGCCTCTGGGAGAGCGCGCTCCCAGGGTTGACGGGCTGGTTGGGCATGCGCCCCAGGCGTTTTGGCGGGAAGCGCGAGGTGGGCCGGACAATGAAAGTGTCCGCCGGGTGAGCCAATAAAGCTGCACTGGTTTTGAATCACGGCGCGTTTCCCGCCGCCGGGGTCAGGGGTCAGGGTTCGGGTCGCGGGGCGGAGGGAAGAGCGGGCGGGCGGGAGGCTCCGGCGCCAGACGAGGAGGAAAGGAGCTACGACTAGTCGCCTAGAGGCCGCGGAGACAGCGACGACCGAGACAACCGAGACGCCGCCGCCGCGCCCCCATGGCGGCTACCAAGGTACGGCTGGGCCCAGGCAGGGACTGGGCGGGCCGGGGGGCTGGGGCCGCTATCGGCGGCCACGTGGGCGGCCCGTGCTTCAGCCGCCAACCCCCGCCGGCCTGTGAGCTCGGGGCCTGTCGAACGAGGAGCCTTGGCGCGCGGGGCTTGGGGGTTCGAGGCCTGGGGGGTCGGGGCGTGGAGGGCCTGGGGCAGAGGCTCTGGCTGCTAGGGCTGTGGGCGCCCGCGTGACCTTGGGGTGGGCCGGAGAGCAGCCACCACCACGTAGGGCGGTCCCCTCTCGCTGGGGCCACGAGCGGGAGACCGGCTCCCTCTGGCTCAGCCCACTTGAAGGTTTCCCACTCGGACCCAGCATCCTAATCGGTTGCCCACGCAGCACTTCATTCATCCCATCCTTACATCTGGAGCCACCGGCCTCTGTGGCAGAAGATTGCGTTCCACCACTGGAGACCGGCGGTGAACGCACCGACCCGGGGTGGGGGCGGCTTTGTTGGCTGCTAGTGCCTGTCGGGTCGGATGCCGGCCGCAGTACAGCCGCAGTGCTATGAAACCCACAGGAAAGATTAGCAAAGAGTGTGTGTGTTTTATTTTCCAGTTTGGGCTTGGTAGCGAGTCTGGGGTTTCTTCTGTATCACTAAAAGCACGTGTTCCCTAAGATTCAAACGTGTGTGTGTGTGTGTTATATGATCATTAGTGTTCTATAAACCTTAAAACTAGGTCGGAATCGTAAGGCTTGTACTACTTTTCTTAGCAACTATCAACTTAATGTTTCGAGTCACAATAAAAATTCTTGTTAGAATTTTGGATTCCATGTAGATTCTAGCAATCGGTGTATTTACTACCCTCCTTGTAAGCAAGGGCATGGATTGCTCCCCATTGCTAAAACTCCTGCGATTGCTTTTTCCTCTGGAGTTCCTCATGTCCTTTGTTCTTCATTTGGCAGGTATCATCTTCGTTTTACCAATGAGGAAATGGGCTCAGAGAGCTGAGGGCGTTTCTCCTAAACCACTTTGCAAGCAACCCCAGTCTGTGCACGGGGTTTGCTTGATGTTTGTTAATCTAGGAGATAGTTATTGAAATCAGTGCGGCTTGATTTTTTTTTTTTTTGGCCGAATATGAGTGCAAACTTTTTGATGATGTGAAAGTCTGATTTCTAATTTGGGTCGAGGCCTGTTCTTGTTTTCTGGGTGCCATTCATCACTGGGGATACCTACTGTAGGCCCAGGTAAGCTCTGGTCCTAGGCCAGCAGCATCATCTCTCTGTTCTTACAGGAAAGTCATGAGGATCATGATACCTCCACTGAGAATACAGACGAGTCCAACCATGACCCCCAGTTTGAGCCAATAGTTTCTCTTCCTGAACAAGAAATTAAAACACTGGAGGAAGATGAAGAGGAACTTTTTAAAATGTAAGTAGGCTGATACTGCCCACAAATACCTCGTTTGAAGTTTGAAGTGATGGAATAAAATTTAAAAAAAGTCTGGCAAGCAAATATTTGTAGAATATGTACCTTAGTGTGGCTCTACTTATACCACATACTTCCTTCGAAAATGTCAGTATAGAACCCTACTCTGCCACTGCTGAGGTGATAACTCCATAAAAGTATTCCTCTTCAAGGTGACAGCCAGGAATTATCCTATTGTTGCCTCCCTTGTTCTCTAGCATAAGCCCTGGTAAGGCTTTATTCAGATGATATTAACCTCTTTATGATTTCCATCTTGAGTTGAATACAAGAAACTTGGGTGACTGGTAGTATTAAGGTTTTTATGAGTGCTTTGACCGATCTTTGCCAGGTATTCCTGCTGCCCTGTGGTGTTCATGTGGAGGGGGGCCCTGCCACTGTTCTGTCCCTTAGGTGAATTATCCCTAATTGACTGTTACTACTTCATTTCCAAGAAGCCACAGTTCGCTTCCATTGGTTGAGCAGTGAGTCTTAACCCTCTTGTACCATAAGCTTTGTCTTAATCCATTTTCTGTTGCTATAAAGGTGCTACAGATTTGAGTCATGTAAAAAAATACAAGTTTTTTTTCTTTAAAAGGTTTGGGGGTTGGAAAGTCCAGTAACATAATGCTGGGATCTGATATGGTCTTCATATTACAACATGGCAGAGGTCTCATCACATGGTGAGACATGAACAAGTAGCTTGGGTCTTTTGTTTCATATTGTGCTGGTCCTGGGGCTTGAACTCAGGACCTGGGCACTGTCCTTGAGCTTTTTTGTTCTTAGCTAGCGCTCTACCACTTGAGCCACATCTCCACTACCAGCTTTTTGGTGGTTAATTGAAGATGGAGTCTGACAGACTTTGTAGCTTGGTCTAGCTTCAAATTGTGATCCTCAGCTCTCAGCCTCTTTGAGTAGCTAGAATTGTAGGCATGAGCCATCCAAGCCTCATGGCAGTTCAGGTTTTCCTCTTGAAAAGCCAAGAATGCCATCATGAGGCCTTGACCTTATAACAGCATCCAATCCTGTTTGCCTCCCAAAGTCTCCCTCTACCAAATATTAATGTGAACTTCTAGGACATTCAAACCATAGCAAACTATTTATTTACTATTTTAATGCCAGTCCTAGAGCTTGTACTCAAGGCCTGGGCCCTATTCCCTTTTTTTTGGTCAGTCATGGGGCTTGAACTTGGCCTGGGTGCTTTCCCTGCGTTCTTCAGCTCAAGGCAAGCGCTCTACCACTTGAGCCACAACACCACTTCTAGTTTTCTAGTTGTGTATTGAAGAGTCTCACAGACTTTCCTGTCTGGGCCAGCTTTGAACGGTGATCCTCAGATCTCAGCCTTCTGAGTAGCTAGGATTACAGGTGTGAGCCACTGATGCCTGGCCTGTTGCTTTTTTTTTTTGCTCAAGGCTAGCGTTCTACCACTCGAGCCAAAGATCCACTTCTCTTTAGAGATAAGAGTCTCCAGAACTTTTCTGCCCTGGTTGACTTTGATCAGATCTCAGCCTCCTGAGTAGCAAGGATTTTCAGCTTGAGCAACTGGTACCCAGCTAACAGTACCTTCAATGAACACATTACAAGTGAAAATGGTTACTTTGTTTACTTGTTGATATTGGGGTTTGAACTCTTAAACTGAATAGGCAAGTGTTTGCTACTTGAACCATATTCCTAGCCCATCCATGGTGGTTACTCTTTTTTTTTTTTGTACTGGGGCTTGAACTCAAAAGGTTTTGTTTGGGGTTGGGAAGTTGGCTCAGCAGTAGAGTGCTTGCCTTGCATGTATGAGGCCCTGGGTTCAATTCCTCAGCACCACATAAGCAGAAAACAGCCGGAAGTGGTGCTGTGGCTCAAGTGGTAGTGCACTAGCCTTGAGCTGAAGAGCTGAGGGACAGCACCCAGGGTCAGAGTCTAGCCCCCATGACCGACCAAAAAACAAAAGTTCACTTGGCTTTTTCACTAAAAGCTGGAGTCCTACCACTTGAGCCACATCCCTACTTCTGGCTTTTGGTGGTTAATAGGAGATAAAAGTCATAGACTTAGGTGTATGGGCTCTCTTTGAGTGCCCTAAAGATGTCAGCCTTCTGATTAGCTAGGATTATAGGCTTGAGCCACCAGCACCTGTCCGAAGGTTACTTTTTTAAAAAATTACTGTGCACAGATCACCTTTGATGAGAAACTGCAGGGGGTAGAGGTGGGCACAAGATTTCTGAATTAGGTTGCAGCACTTCAGAGAGACACTTATTGGCTTACACTCGGTGTGTGAAACACTAGATTTAGTTAGAACGTAGTGAAAGTACGTTTGTAGGACTCTCCTTTCTCAAGTTGGCCCTAAATGCTGAGTTAAGCCTTGGCCATTCTGAAGTGGGGTAAGGAAAGAGAGGATCCCAACCACCAAGTCCTTCCTCCAAGGAAGGGTGCTGGAGAGGGCAGGCCTGGGCAGTGAGAGCCACAGGTGCCCTTCAATCCCTAGGGCAGAGGGCTTTCTCCTGAAGACTTCCTTCTGTCTAAAGGATGTTATAGCTACTACTGGCAGGGATTGGGGTTACTCAGTATTTGATGTCAGATAAGAGGCCAACTGGTTAGGCTTTGAGGCTTCTTTTTAGGAAACCTTGTGAGGACTCCCTTGATAGAACTGAGTTTGGAGGAGAGCAGTCCAGCAGGAGATGAACAAAGCTGAGTGTAGAGGAGGGGAGGGTGTTAGTGGCTGCTAGTAAGGAGTGCCATTCCTAGACCAAGTATGCTTGGCCTAGGGCCTGGCTGTCTAAGCAGAGGCCTGGCCCTTCTCTCGTGAGGAGCTGGGGGGCAGAAAATGGAAGGTTGGGACCTGTGGAGGATGCAGTTCCCTCACTGCTCTTTGTGACAATGCTCAGTGACTAGGTTGCCCAGTCCACTGGGAGCGCAGATGCTTTCCCTCTTTGGGTTGTTTATCCCTTTTTTTTGAGAGTCCAGGTGTTTGTTGCAGTTGTAGACATTTTTTCTCCTTTTTAGTTGTGAAGTACAAAACAACTGGAATTGGTCCGTTATGATCTTTTGGGTGGTATTTTGTCTAGTTCTCAGAGTGGAAAGGGGATTCGTAGAGACATAGTAGCATCACAGAACAGAGTTCTTCCAAGTGTTTAGTGCGCAGAGAATCAAATAGCTCGTCTTTTGAGCAAACCTTTAAGGGAGGGTGTTCCCCTCAGTACATTTAAGCACTCACTTGCTGGCTTTTTTCACAGGCGGGCCAAGCTATTTCGATTTGCTTCAGAGAATGACCTCCCAGAATGGAAGGAGCGAGGCACTGGTGATGTCAAGCTCCTGAAGCACAAGGAGAAAGGGACCATCCGCCTCCTCATGAGGAGGGACAAGACCCTGAAGATATGCGCCAACCACTACAGTAGGTGGCGTGTGTTTCCCGGAGTGGGTAAAATGTGTCTTTCATATATGCCTGTGAACTATAAGCAGGCCTTTGATGATGCTTACAAGACATGGGTTGTGGGTCCAGCCAGCCAGGCCTCTATGGGTTGAATGCAGAGGCCCGGGCTAGGTTTGGGATTGGACTGGATGCTCAAGGATAGTATGGGTATCTAAGCTATGGGGCAGGAGTAATGTCTTCGTGTGATTTATAATTCCATATGTGTATGTGGTCTGGGCTTGTGGGGATATCTGTGTAGCAAGAGGCTATGTGCTTAGTTCCTTAGCAGTAGGTAGCCAAGGATGTCCCCTGAGGAAGACACGAGGAGAACAGGACTGGGAGAAGGTGACCACTCCATCCTTGGTGCCTATGAAGGGTAGAGGCTCTTGGCTAGAGTAGCCCAGTAGGGTCTGGGAAAGACCCAAGGAGGTATGGCCTGGGATGATGCATCAGCTGGTTGCCTCTACCATGTTTGTGGGGATGCCATGTTGACCCAGTATGCTGCTCCTGGTGGATGCTGTGTATAGAAGCACCTACATCTTGGGCTGGCCTTCTGGGAGCCTGACCATTTCTGGGTCTGCATTTTCTGGGTATAAAATTTGTGTCTGAGCCGGGCGCTGGTGGCTCACGCCTGTAATCCTAGCTACTCAGGAGGCTGAGATCTGAGGATAGCGGTTCAAAGCCAGCCCGAGCAGGAAAGACCGTGAGACTCCTATCTCCAATAAACCACCAGAAAACCGGAAGTGGCGCTGTAGCTCAAGTGGTAGAACGCTTGTCTTGAGCTGAAGAGCTGAGGGACAGCGCCCAGGCCCAGAGTTCAAGCCCCACGACCGACAAAAAATAAAAAAAAAAAATAATAATAAAAAAATTTGTGTCTGGCAGGCCATGGTTTCTTGTCCTGGACACATGGGTTGACGGGGCAGAAACTACAGTAGAGCAGCCTTCAAGAGTGATGCAAAAGGACAGGTGGGTTTGCAGAAGCCCATAGAGGGGACAGAGGCATGAGAAAGACTTCCATTTCTCCCAGTACCATAACTGGCTACTCTGTCCTGGTCTTCTGTCTTACCCTGTAATGCACTGAGCATTTTCTTGAGATCTATTTTGAGAGCCATTGCTTCTCCCAAAGCCTAGTCAGCCTCTGGGTTGTTTCTATGAGAACTCGGGGCATCCAGATAGAGTTGTGCATGACCAACAGTTCCTGATGCACATCATAGGCCCCCAGTGGAAGGGGAGGGTCAGGGTGGATGAGGTATAAGGAAGTATAGACATGAACAGTGTACACGAGGCCCAGTGGAGGCTATAGTGGACAAGATCCCTCAGCTCTTAGTTCAGGATTTGGTGTGTAGGAATTTATAGGTCTACCTGGAATCCTTAAGAATGGACTTCTGTTATGAGTATTGAGTCACTGGCCCATTATTGGGCACTAGGGATACTTCTGACCTTTAGGGACCATTCTGGTGAGTCATAGCCTACAAGCCTGTCAGTAGACAAGCAGATTCTCCTTTAAGGCAGCTGTTGGCTTGGTGCTAGAATCTCTCCTTAGGTTCCCTTGGATCTGTAGTGGACTTAAGAGGCTTGGGATAAGCATATTTTAGGTCACGACTGTCTTCTATAACAGAGAACGTTTATTATAGCACTTGGGACACCCACCCACTGCTTTATGTCCTGATCTCCTAGTGGCCTCCCTAGAATTCTAGATTGAGATTTTTTTTTTTTTTTTGGGCGGTTGTGGGGCTTGAACTCTGGGCCTGGGTGCTGTCCTTGTGCTCTTCAGTTCAAGGCTGAGTGCTCTACCTCTTGAGCCACAGTGCTACTTCCGGTTTTCTAGTGGTTTATTGGAGATAAGAGTCTCACGGACTTTCCTGCCCAGGCTCAGCCTCCTGAGTAGCTAGGATTATAGATGATAGCCACCAGCGCCTGGCTAGAGTGAGAATTTTTAAGCTAGTCTGACCATGTGGGTGATAGCCCTATGTTCAGGCTTCTTCCCTTCCATTGCCCCCACTGGATGTGGACATAGCCACATGCTCAGTGCCATTTGGAATAGTCTGGGTTTCCTTTACCTGTTGCCCTAATGTCTGTCATAGCCATGAGACAACACAACTGGAGTCTGAAGCAAAGAGCTGAAGCCTGCTTTGTCTCCCTGTGTGCTTGAATAGTCTCAAGATGATGGCTCAGGAAACAAAATTGTTCTGGTGTTAAGCAAATGGGCATTTTCAGAGGTTGGGATAAAATCCACCAGATACCATAAGACTTCGTTCTGGGCTGGTCTTAGACCCCAAACTGTCTTGATATTTGAAGGTGGTTGAATAGGGTTGCTCTGTGGCCAAGAGGTGGGTGGGTTGGCCTTGTTGGCCCATCCTCACAGGCTTTTCTCTCTAGTCACACCAATGATGGAGCTGAAGCCGAATGCTGGCAGTGACCGTGCCTGGGTCTGGAACACCCATGCTGACTTTGCTGATGAGTGCCCAAAGCCGGAGCTGCTCGCCATCCGCTTCCTAAATGCTGAGAGTAAGTGGGACACTGGGACTGACCCAACTATGGCTGCCTGCTTGATAGTGCAGTGTTTAATTAGAAACAAATGCTGTTGCTTAGGGGAAATTGACAGTGACTGGGAGGTAGTGTGCACTGCTCTGGCTGCTGTGTGGGGCTATACAGTGTTTCCTCCAAATCTCCAAGGCATTTGCCTGATCACTCTGCATTATCCACTAAGTGGTCCTGATCCTAGCATTTTCCTGCTTCTAGTTCCCACCTATCAAGTGTGTTAAGCCTGGGTCCCCCTTAGAGTTTCCTTCCTCTGTTGCTTCTGTTGGGTTTCTGGCTCTCCAAAGCCAAGGAGCAGTGATGTCCTCTTATCACCTGACACCGGCAAGCCTCAGAGACTGCAAAGGTTCACAGGAGCAGGCTGATCTCTCCTCTACTGGTGGTGGTGATGTGGGAATGGAGGGCACTTTATAATCCAAATTGTCAGCTATGCTCAGGAGATCTGGAGAAGTCAGTGGGTGCTGTGGAAATGTCTAGGGCTAGGTGGATGAGCCTTGCCCTTGGTATGGAAGTAGGGCCATCCAGCAACCCCTCTAGATGATTGGCTATCAGAGCCTGGCAAAGAGACTTCCCAGGAGTGATTGGTTACATTGTTACAGGCAAGTGAAGGGACAGCCCAGCCCATATTTAGGTCTGAAATTGGCATGGGGAAAGGGGGTCTTGGGGCTCTGTAAATTGGGTTCTTCATGCTATCTAAGACATATCAGTTTCACACTCTGCTCTTATGAAGTCCTCTCTCTCCACAGATGCACAAAAATTCAAAACAAAGTTTGAAGAATGCAGGAAAGAGATTGAAGAGAGAGATAAGAAAGGTGACATGGAACCCCTTGGTTGGGGGGAGCTTCCTTGCAGACTCACTCTGCACCTGGCTGCAGCCCCAGGCGGGTGCTTTTTCTGTCTGCTAGAGAAACAGTTCCAAGGTGCTGTGGCCCCCTTGACCAGTCAGGGGTAATACAGCTGCCTGGGGGTACAGCTGCCTCCTGGGAGGCCCTGAGCACCTGCTTATTGTCAACTGGTGTCATGTCATTGAGATCCCAGTGGGGAGTTGAGTTGCAGCTGTCTGGAGCCCACCAGGTTCTAAAGGAGATTGTCTTTATTTTCTCTGGGAGGTCTCAGTCTCATACTCCTTTAGGGTTGATGCTGCCTGTTGTGTAGCAGGTGACGAGATGCCACCAAGCAGCTCAGTGTGAGCACTAGCAGAATTTGTTAAGGCTCTTGGGCCCCGCTAGGGAGGAGGGTGAGTGGTGGTGCTCAGGGACCAGTGTGTGCTTGCTGTGTGCCAGCAAGAGCAGTGCTATCTAACAAGCTGGACTTTTCTGTTTTCTTCCATATTTGCTTATATTCTAGCAGGACCAGGCAAAAATGATAATGCCGAAAAAGTAGCTGAAAAGCTGGAAGCTCTTTCTGTGAAGGAGGCTGGAGACAAGGTGGAAGAGAAATCGGAGGAGAAGCAATGAGTTAATCTTCCCTCCTTCTTTTCTTTTTCTTTCTCTTTCTTTTTTTAAAAAAAATTTTGCCCTGCCCTTCCTTTTCAGTTTCGTTTTTAAATTCTGTTTTGTTTTTACAAGGGACTTTATATAAAGAACTGAATTCCAACATTCAAGTTTTTTTCTAAGTTTTTACCCTACTGAAGATGACTTCTGAAAATCCATTCCCCAGTCATGAAAATGTACTGTGCTAACTTTCTTTTCCATAGTGGAAACACTTATTTATAGTCATCAAAATAGTGAATAAAATTGCCTTTGAAAGCTGGACTAGGTGGCAAGACTGCATGTGTGTGGGCTGTACTGAGTGTACTCTTGGGACTCCCTACATGCCTTGACTGTCCACGTTGTATACACCAGAACGGGTCTTCATTACCACACCGATTTCTCACTCTAGAGTTGCCAGGGTTATGTGTTGTACTGCTCTTGGCTACTGCAGCACAATGTGTTTGAGTAATGGGACATGTATTCTAACTATGGCTGCCTACTTGGCCCTGCTTCTGACCTGACAGCATTCTTAGGTCCTTTGAAGGGCACACTTAAAACAACCACAAGACTGCATTGGCCGTCTCTGTCCTCTGCCCAGGGTCCCCTAGCAAGTTGGTGGCATTTTCTAACCCCTGGAAGAGAAAGGCTTACCTAAACATGTCAAGAGGTCAGAATGTATTGGAATTGTGCTGTAAAGTACAAGTGGTGCTTTACTGTGCTTACTTTGCCATGGGCATCAGATACATGCGAAAGATTGTCCTCCAAGGTCACCCTTTCAGGACAAAACAGTTAACATTTTTGCCTTGAGTTCCAGTAGGCTGACTTACCTATCTCATGGTGGAAGAACTATCTCCAGGAGTTCTCCTCTGGCTGGGGAGGAGAGAGGAGAGGGGACACTATTCTCTGCTCAGGTTATGTTGGGTACATTTAAGGAGTATCAGCTGCAAAAGGGTGCTACTGATGGAGATGGTGGGCCCGTCTCCGCATCTACTGTGCAAACACTATCTCAACAATGAGCCAGATGGAGAGCCTAATAGGTGCTGGGGACTGTGAGAAATGCTTTAATAACAGTTGTCCCTCTTAGTTACCCAGTGGGTGCTAGAAACCTTGCATACTAAGTACCAAGCCCTAGAAATACTGTCTGCTGTCTATACATAGCTGTTGAAGTTTATAGCTGGGCACCAGTGGGTCATATCTATCATAATCTTAGCTACTTGGGATGCTGAGATTAGATATGAGAATCAGTTCAGAATCAACCTGCAAGGTAAATCCCCATTAACTAGCAAAAAGCCAGAAGTGGAGGCATAGCTCAAATGGTAGAATGTCAGCCATTAGTGGAAAAAGCCAAGCAACATGAGGTCTTGGGTTCAAGCCCTAATAGCACATAAAGACTTAGTTTACAGATTAGACATAGGGATTGATTTAGCAAGAACTATTAACAAAATCCAACTATTCAAACTAAGTCAAGTAACTTGTACTGTAGATCTTGGCAACTTTAGCATGTTTGTTTTCTTTTTGAACTAAAATAGGTGTACAGTGAGTGTCTTTTTTTTGGGGGGGGGGTCCGGTCGTGGGGCCTGAACTCTGCCTGGGCGCTGTCCCTCAGCTCTTCAGCTCAAGGCTAGCGCTCTACCACTTGAGCCATAGCACCACTTCCAGCTTTTTTCTTTTTGCTTATATGGCGCTGAGGAATCGAACCCAGGGCCTCATGCATGCAAGGCAAGTGCTCTACCACTGAGCCACCTTCCCAGCCCCCCCCCCCTTTTTTTTTTATTGTGAAAATACCATACAGAGGGGTTATAATTACACGGGCAAGGTAAACAAGCATTATTGCCTCCTTTGTTTCCCCTTCCCATCTCTACCCCCTCATCCCCCATCCCCACCCAGTGTGTGTCTTGAATAGGCCTGGTCACTATACTTCAATGTTCAAGGCTAGTGGTGTATCACTTGAGCAGAGCCAAAGTTTCACTTCTGGCTTTTTGGTAGCTACTCTCATGGACTTGTCTGCCCAGGCTGGCTTCAGACCTAGATTCAGTCTCCTGAGTAACCTGAATTACACCTTTTCACCTGGGAAGTGAGTGCCCTCTGGCTTTTATTCTGGAGAGGTTTGAATTGGGAGTCTTTCTTAGAAGCTGGCAACTGAGTAGATATATGTCTCCCCAAAACTTGTAGCCTTGAATACAGCTATGAGGGTAGTAGACTGAGAAGCAATATAAAGAGTAAGAAAACAATCTCAAACCAGATCAGCTATAATGGAGAGTTGAAGAGGGATGCCATGGTGACGTGAGAAGTCAGGAGATGTGAAGCAAGGTGCCCTTCTGGTTTTTCTGATAACAAAATTAATAGCTTTTAAGACTGAACTTTGGGACCATTGTTAAGTAAAAGTTCCTAGAACGAAAGTCCTGGGGTGTAGTGACTTGATCTGATAACACAAGTAGCTTTTGAGTGTCAAAGGAGCAGGTAGTAGATCCATCAGGCTAAGGGTGACCCACATTCTAGCAGTAAGGAGCAAGGTGTGGTACACACCTTGGGGCAGAGGTTTCACCTGTGTTCTGGCCTGCAGGACAGGAGTAAGGACTAGGCCATGGTTGAAATGTGTTCATAGCACTGAGGGCTGGCTAGTGGCCAGCTGGAATTAGCTGGTATGTTTGCCTTTTGGTCTCCATCAGTGCTGTGAGAACTCTCCTTGCCATTATGCCTGGCCTCAGAGTGGGAAGACAAGTTTGGGAGAAAACCCATCATTATTCCTGCTGTTGGATAGCTATGCATTAAGAACCCCGGAGTTGGGTTACTTAACAGCTCACAGCCTGCCTACCTGAGAAGCTAGCTGGATGCTTCACAGAATAAAGATGGACCAAGCTTATAGAGGAGGTATGCCAGGGAGGAGGTGGCTACTGTGCAGAAACAGGTGGGGGAAGAAGAAACCCGTGTCCCATCCCCAACATCCTTGTGGGATGAGCTCCATTGGGTCAGGTTTCAGACTGGAGGGTGCTAGGGTGTTGGAAGAGCCACAACTGAGGGAGGCCTTTGCTGGGATTGCAATGGTGCTTGACAGATTGCTTGCTATCTGAGGCTGCTCTGCCAGGGGAGGCTAAGTGCAGGTGTCCAGTAGCCTGCCAACGTCTCAGGCACCCTCTGATGTTCTCAGATGCCAGTCCACCTTAAGCAGTAGTGCAGCAGAACTGGCTAGTGGGATACCCCGGGGTATGGGGGGAGAATAGGGGAGCCTGTGCACCAGGCCTCCAGCGCCAGTAGTGCTGGCTCTTCCCGATGATGTTTACCTGTCCTGGGGGGAAAGGGGGGCGCTGGCCCTCGTCTCTCTCACCTACAACCGCTGTCTAGCCTGCAGCCTGGGACAGGATGTAGAGGGACCCAAGGGTCTCTGACCAGAGACGAGTGTGGCTGCGAGGTGGGTAGGGTTCGTAACCACAATGGCTCTGCATGGTGACCACCCCCACCTCCACCCTCGTGAGGCTTCTGAAAGAGGGGTTTGGCCCGGCCCAGGAATACCATGAAGCAGAGGCCATCGGCCTACCCTGGGACGCGCTCGGTGCTGGAGCTGTTTAGGAAAAGATCTGTGCATATTGGCCAAGGAGAAGACCCGCGTCGAGGCCAGCGAGCTGGGACCAGGGGTCTTGGCTTTTCCCGCGGTGCCCACCGGACCTGAGAGGCCTGCAGGGTGCGTCGGCTGCGCGGCCTCCGAGAGCCGCCCGCCCCAGACACCCCAAGCCAGGAGTGGCTCCGCCCCTCCGAGGGTCGAGGGGATCGGAGGGCAGGTGCTCCAGGCCACCGGCCGCGCACACCGTACGGAGAGGACGGGAGCCGGCCCGCCCCACCGCGGCCCCCCAGCAGCCCGGTCCACCTTAAGGGGAGCGCTGACATCAGCGCGCCGCCGCCGCCGCCCGTGGGGTGGGATTTCCTTCTCCGCCGCCGCCGCCGCCGCCGCCGCCGCCGCCGCCGCCGCCGCCGCCGCCGCCGCGGATCCCGCGCCGCGTCCACCCCGCCCGACCCCGGCCCGACCCCGGCCGGCCCCGCCCGCCCGGCCCCGGGGAGGGATGCGGCGGCGCGGCGCCCAGGATGCCCCGCAGCCCCGGGACGCGCCTCAAACCCGCCAAGTACATCCCGGTGGCCACGGCGGCCGCGCTGCTGGTCGGCTCCAGCACCCTCTTCTTCGTGTTCACGTGAGTCGGTGCCGCGTCCGGGGCTCTGGGGGCGCAGCGAGGGGCAGCGGGTCGCCGTTTCCGGGGGTGAGGTGGGGGGGTCAGGGGCAGCGGCCCGATGGACTGGGAGGGGCAGGGGTGGGGCAGGCGGGGCGGGGCGCTGGCCGCAGCTTGGTGAGCCCCTATACTGGTTGAGGGGCCGAGGCCCAGTGTGCATTGGTCCTGGGGCACCTGGGACAACTGGGTCTTGTGTGGGGACAGCAGTGCTGGCTGAACGCCTCTGAGTGTGCCTGGCAGGCCCTGGGTGTGGCCGCAACTCTTCCCTCACACAAGATCAGGAGGGGACGTGGGTCACCCATCTGCACTTCTTGCCTGCAGCCGTGGGAGAGTCTTGGGTGGCCTCCCAGCTGGAAGCCCCAGGCCAGAGACAAAGTTGTTCCTGCGTAGGTGTGGTCTGGCTTGTTTGCCACATGCTTGTCCCACAGTCATTGGCCACCCTTGCCCTGGCTGGCCCTCTGCCCTCCCTTGGCAGCTCTCAAGACCCCAATGGTTATCAGAGTTGAAGAAAGCCACGCTGGGCTGGACCAGGGACAGACATTTGTACTGCAGTGGGCTGGCTGTGGGGGCGGCCAAGACCTTAGAGAACCGCCTGTGTAGTCTGAGCTTCTTTCCATGGGCTGTCTTACTAGCCAGAGTGACCTGCTGATCTTCCGTGGTCACAGAGTCCCTCTAGAGAGTCTTAAGGAATCAGAGGACTTTAGGCTTCACTTGTGAGGATCACTGATCTTTTACCCTTTCCACAAATTCTAATAAGGGGTCTAATACAGCCAGACTGATGACCATCTGTTCCCAGGGAGGGAAGTCCCTGAGTGTAAGAGAACCTGAGTGGGCAGAGAAGCCATCCTGGTGCCCTTTCACCTTCTAGGAGCTGGAGGGGTTGGGGGGTGTTGTAGGAGAGTGCTGTGTGTCTGTGTATGTGTGTGTGTGCGTGTGCATGTGTGTGCACACACACACATGTATATGTGTGGTGAGGCTGAATTAGGTGCCTGTAGAAGCTTGAGAGCCCCTACCTGGAGGCTGGGGTGGGGTAGTTGCAGGCTGCCAAAAGTGGGTTTAAAAAAG